AGCAGTTTTTATTATTATCAGATTCCAAGTTCTATTTTAGTTTTACAAAAAGAAAAAAATCCTTTAAGGAGTATAGATACCTGAACACAACAATAAAATGTATAGTACTAGTAGTATTCGCTAGCTCTGTTATACTATACTCTATAATTTATTACATAAGACTATTAGAATTAAGGTGTTATACTTATAGTTCAAACTAGACTAACGTATACTAAACTTACCTTCACATGAAGATCTACTGCTTTCCACGCAGCTGCTTTCTTGGCCATTTCAATTGGCTCCATATTTTCTCTCTTTTAAAGTTTCGATTAATTAAATAAATTGGTACTGCTAGCGTTACTGCTATCTGCGTTAAAACACGTAAACACTATGTAGCTGAAACTTCGCTCCGATGGAAAGCTTCTAATTTGGTAAATATAATGCTATATCCAGTTAATGTAATAATAACGAATTAATTTACCTTTTCATTAACCGTTGCTACAGTCACGTTTAATTCGAAGCATATTTAAAATATAACGTTTCAACAAATATTCCGAGACTAATGGCGTCCTTAACTTGCAAATAAACTTACGTATTGTCATCACTAATCGATCGTGTAACTAATTATGCGCGATAACTCTTACCACTATCACTGAATCACTCATTGAAGACCCAATAATCTATTAACTACTCTATCATTACTGATTGACTCACTCACTTTTTTTTTTGCGAGTTATGGGGGCGCCATCAGCAGATGATATGCCCCAATTTCACCGATCTGATCTAGTTGAACTAGATACATTCGTCACTCTGCCATTTAGCATTAGTTACATATACATACATACATTTTATTAATACTATTATACTTTTTTGTTGTTGTTGTAGTTAATTGTGTTACACTAAAAATCCTACAAGGTCATGTTATTGAATAATACATAAGGAAAAAGTTTACATAGTTAGTTCTTCTCGACTGGGGGCGACTCCAGCCATTGGAGACAATGACAAAAGAAGTAGCCCTATTAGTAAAAAGAAAAGGACATTAAATTTTTATGTTATTCCTTATAACGAAGTTATATATTGCGGGGACTTACTCACTGCTTCTCTTTACTTTTATTTATACTGTACTCACCTTCCACTCACTACACTAACTTTCCAAATTAGAACATTAAGCGCCCTCTAGCAAACGTCTAAATTTAAAACATTGAAAATTAATAATGCTTGGACACGGCTTGAATGGGTAATGAAGAAAATCTTTAACATAACAGAAAATGTACAAGGTTTTGATGATGACATTTGTACAATAGCTGTTATGTTAAACTTATATTAAAGTTTTTCCTTCATTACTCTTTCAAGCTCTCCAAGCATTATTAGTCTCAAAGTGGGTTCCTCGTCATCGAAATTGAAAATTAAGCTGTTTAAAACAATATCATTTTTGTGAGAAAAGACTGGAAATACATTTTTCCGGATTCGTACAAATAGTGTTAATTTTTGTTTCACGACAGAGTACAACGATTGTACTAAATAAAGATGAAATGTATAATGATCATATTAGTATAAAAGGAAATAAATGCATTTGTTATATGAAAAATGTTTGATTTGTTTATTGTTAAGCGCAAAGATAAACAAATGGACTACATGTGCACTGCCCTCTGCGTATATTGTAATTCGATTTTTAGCTTTGCAAATCCTCATAATTTCCACTGAAACACCGCGGGGCAAAAAAAACAAAATAAATGATGAAATAAGGATCTTTTAATTCATGCTTAAGGTTTGGATAATAAACACCAGGTACCGCCATCTAGGCAAAATGTTTACAATAGTCCACAGAACCTCTCTGACTCTTCTTTTTTCAAGAAAAAACAATTTCAGAAATCTTAACGTGTTCTTGTATGACAACCGTTCCATCCAAAGTATCATACTAGTGGTTCTACTCTGAACCCTTACTAACAATTCAGTGTTCTTTCTAAGGTAATGAGCCCAAGACTGAACACAGTACTCCAAATATGGCCCAACCAGTGACATTATAAACTCTTTGGAGTTGTATTCAGTATTTTTGTACATACAACCTAAAATCCTATTTCCCCTATCACTAGCAACAGCCAGCACATTGCTTGTATGTCTTGAGAGACTGATCAACCATTACATTAAGATCATTTTCTTCTGTTAAGTTTATTCCCATCCACATATAATTTAAGAAATAACATATAGGCCATCTCAACCACTAAATTAAACTTAAAGAAACACAAAGCCAGCCCTTATGATTCAAATATTTATCAAACCTTCCCTTAAATTGACTGCATACACCCCATTAGTTGATGAGTTGGGCAAGTAAATAACAAATGGTTTTGAACTGTAATAAATGGAAGATAATACATGTGGGATATAATAATTTGAATTACAAGAATAATTGTCACTTAACTAGCTGATCCATGTTGTACTATGATTGTCCCCTTTTTCTTCTAGATCATGACTTTAATCCCTTTATAGTCATTTTTGCTCAAATTTCTCCTGAATTGGTTTCCAGTCAGGAGAAGCTCATTAGGGTTTTGGCTTTATGTATTACTTCCAATCATTGTCCTATTGTTCAATGTCCAGGAAGTACTAGTCATTTTTCTGCATTACCCACTGTTGCTACTGCTTAATCTTCTACTTTTAATGTGATACAAAATGGTAGTAGAAGCAGGGTGGACCACATGCTCCCAGACAATGACTTTAATTTGAAATAGTTCCTCCTCTTTATCTGTTGGAAGACCATTTCAGGTTGTGTGTTAATCTATGGAATACTTGACCTCAAGGTCCTTCATTTTGGGTTTTGTATCCATTTTCATGAACCCCCTCTCTTTTTTGGTAACTCCCATTTTCTTTTCCCCTTCTATACGATCCACTTCAAGTTCAGCTGTTAGATCAGGAACTGTCACACCTTCTGTTCATAGGAGCTATCAAAGAGGTACTTCTGGTTTCCCCAGGGGTTTATTGTCATCTTTTTGTGATGCCAAATAAAACAGGAGAAATGGAAACCAGTATTAGATATTTCCAATCTCACTCATTACCTCAACATTCCTTCTTTTAAGATGGAACATATTTGAATCTTACACAACTTCCTTCATCAAGGTTGTTGGATGACAAAAGTGGATATCACAGATGAATATTTATACATTCCAGTTCATGAGTTTTCTCTTCTTTTTGTATATTGGGGAGTAGTTTATCAGTTAAAGATCCACTATTTTGGTCTAGCTCTCTATGTCTTCACACCTTTAGTCAAACCTTTCACTGATTTTCTACACACACTACAAGTTGATTTTTATCATTACACAGATGATTAGATTCGGATTATAGTAGCTCAGTTGTATCACCAGTCACTGACTTACACTTATTGAACCACCCAGTTTGCTTTTTCTGTGCAATTGATTGTACCCAAGTCCAATTTTGAGCTTGTGCCAAACCAAAACATCCTACATCTCATATTTCAAACCAACACTGTTCATTTGTCACCTTTGGCTTTGCAACCCTTTGGATATGCCAACTTTTCTCCTCTCTCTGCCAAAGACACCAGGGCCTTGGTAGTGTATTGAGAGAATGTTATCTTTTGAGTCTATGATTTATTCAGAACTCCCAGTCTCACATCAGTCTGTTGGAATTTTATGAAGTTTAACATGTGTATGCAAAGATGGAACACTATTGTGTTATGGTACACACAAGCAATTCAACTATGCTCAACAAGCAAGATGGGACTGATTATCACAGACTTTGTTTTGCTGCAGCTTATTTTCGTTTTTGGCTACATTTGCATCATGTCTTTCTCTGAGCTTATTATGTGCCTGGTGTTATGGTGGACTTTCTTCACCAACTTCTACCAACAGTTTTCCAGTGGTAGCGTCTTCATCCTATAACTGATTTATTGGCAACAACAGTGCATCAGTGTTTGCCACTTTACCAGCCACCAATTCTGGATCCAGCTTTTCTAGCAGTGAATTTCTTGAGCCAGTTTTGGGAGAATCTTTTTCTTTATGTCCACCTTCCTTTTCATCTTCTTCCTCAGGTGTTGGCCAAACCCTATGTGCTCACTGGACATTTCCTACTAACCAATTATTTTCTACATACTTAATATTTAACTATTACTAAGACGTTAGGATTTTGTTAATCAGAAAAGACACAGTTGAAAGTATATAGGGGCAAAAAAGAATAAAGGATTTCAACTAAGCTAAACGTTGCAAAATAATCAGCACATATTTACTTATACTTAAAAAAATCATTATGTTAGAAGAAATAAATATGTAACGATGTACTGATAAAGTATTCATAAAATGTGCTTTTGAATAAATATATATAACAAGGAAGGAAGTTGGTGGCGTTTCTGTTCAGTTTTTTGAAGAAAACTTCATTTTTTTTAATAAAAAAATAAAACAATGGAATTCAAATTTTCACGAGTTTATTATAACATAAAACTGAGTGGTATATTTTAATCTGGGGCTTCATATACAAAAGTAACTGAAAATTCCAAGTGAATAATAACATCTGGTTATTACAAATATAGCAAAGTTACAATCAACACACAAGTAAAATAATGGTTTTAATCACTTAACTAGCTTATTCACATTATACTATGATTGTCCCTTTTTTTCTAGATCATGACTTTAATCCCTTTATAGTCAGCATGACACTTAACTAGCTGATACATGTTGTACCATGATTGTCCCTTTTCTTGTAGATCATGACGTTAATCCATTTATAGTCAGCATGACATTTAACTAGCTGATCCATGTTGTACTATGATTGTCCCTTTTTTTTCTAGATCATGACTAATCCATTTATAGTCAGCATGACACTTAACTAACCGATCCATGTTGTACCATGATTGTCCCTTTTCTTGTAGATCATGACTTTAATCCCTTTATAGTCAGCATGGCACTTAACTAGCTGATACATGTTGTACCATGATTGTCCCTTTTCTTGTAGATCATGACATTAATCCCTTTATAGTCAGCATGACATTTAACTAGCTGATCCATGTTGTACTATGATTGTCCCTTTTCTTGTAGATCATGACTTTAATCCCTTTATAGTCAGCTTGGCACTTAACTAGCTGATTCACATTATACTATGATTGTCCCTTTTTTTCTAGATCATGACTTTAATCCCTTTATAGTCAGCATGACACTTAACTAACCGATCCATGTTGTACCATGATTGTCCCTTTTCTTGTAGATCATGACATTAATCCCTTTATAGTCAGCATGAAACCTTAAAGGATCAGAACTAGAACTTTAATGGATCAGAATTAAAACCTTAAAGAATCAGAACTAGAACTTTAATGGATCAGAATTAAAACCTTAAAGGATCAGAACTAGAACTTTAATGGATCAGAATTAAAATCTTAAAGGATCAAAACTAGAATTTTAATGAATTCGAATTAAAATCTTAAAGGATCAGAACTAGAACCTTAAAGGATAGAACTAGAACTTTAATGGATCAGAATTAAAATCTTAAAGGATCAGAACTAGAACTTTAATGAATCAGAATTAAAATCTTAAAGGATCAGAACTAGAACTTTAATGAATCAGAATTAAAACCTTAAAAGATATCATAATAAAGCATTAAAAGATAAAAAATAAAGCAACACATCAGAAGTAAAGGTCATGAATAAAGGATTAAAACAATGTTTTTAATTGAATCCTTTCAAACATTAGTCATGTTCCATGCTGAACAGTTTGCATTATTTTCTTTCTATACCTAGAAAATTATTTTACAAGATTGGAGAAAATTTTTATCACATTATTATTGTTAATAAGATTACAGTATACAGTGAGCACAGAAGATGTACAATCTTTATTTAACAGATCAGCCACTAGCTCTGCAACAAAATATGTCTGCCTGGCAACGGCATCACCTGCTAAATTTCCTGAAGCTGCCGACTCTGCCGGAATTCCAAGACCAGACTCGCACTTAGAAGAAGAATTACAACAACTGCCCACCAAGTATGATTACATGCAAAAAGAAGATGACTGGAATGATATCATAAGAAAAAAGATTTGTCAACTGACAGATTTATATCATAAGAAAGAATAATGGCAGGATAATTTGGTAACAAATAAAAAAAAAAAAAGCTCATATCAAAAATTTGGAAACATAACATTCTCCATGGTGAGTTTTATTTTTATAAACAGTTGTATTAATATATAAAACTTTATCACAGCATTAGGAGAACAGATTTTTTATAGTAATATTGAAAGTATTATAATATATGAATTCTAAATATCACAAATCGCTCAAAATTAAACTTCATAATCATGTTGTACTATGATTGTCCCTTTTCTTGTAGATCATGACATTAATCCCTTTATAGTCAGCATGACATTTAACTAGCTGATACATGTTGTACCATGATTGTCCCTTTTCTTGTAGATCATGACATTAATCCCTTTATAGTCAGCATGACACTTAACTAGCTAATCCATGTTGTACTATGATTGTCCCTTTTTTTTCTAGATCATGACTAATCCATTTATAGTCAGCATGACACTTAACTAGCCGATCCATGTTGTACCATGATTGTCCCTTTTCTTGTAGATCATGACTTTAATCCCTTTATAGTCAGCATGGTTAGTTCTGATCCTTGAGATTTTAGTTCTGATCCATTAAAGTTCTAGTTCTGATCCTTTAAGGTTTTAATTCTGATCCATTAAAGTTTTAGTTCTGACATTTTAATACTTGTGAACTTTTAAAGAATTACTTCTCAATTAGAAAAACTAGATCTTTTACAGCTTCTTAGCCACTTTTCCTCCTCTGAAAAATTCCTCAATCACGTGAGCTATGATCCACTCTTCCCACTCAAAATGTTTCTCAAAATATTTTATTTTTTTACCTTTTTGATGAAATCTCCTTGAAGTTATGATAGATATATGCCAGTGAAGTTGCTGTATGAGGGCAAACGTAGTAATTGTTTTCAGTCCAACATCTCTTTATAGCACTTACAATAGTTGCATTATCTGCACGAAAACTTTTCAGAACTTTCTGAAGCTGGAAGAAAAATAAAAAATATATGGTTTATTTTTATCCATTTAAACTGTATAAAAAATGTAGAAGTGATTTTTTTTCACCAGATTTTGTAGAGATTTTAATAATTTAATAAATTCTTGGCACTTCCCTTCACTTTTATTTTTCTTTGACAATTTGATTGTTTCAAATATTTGTGAAAGTCTACACAAGAGAAATCTGTGTTGACCATCCCTAACTATGAAATGATGACAAAAAGGAAGGCAGCTAGACAACAGCATCCACCACCAACTCAAAGATGGCAATCTTAGATAAATCCCTTAAATAAGCAATGCAAACACACAATTTAAACATCACAGAAACAATATTTTCTTGTACAAACTACCTTGCATGCTGTCTAATTAAATCATAATAATAAAGATAGCAGCATAACAGCTTATTTTACACCCATGTTGGAAAATAATTTGATCCACATGACTTCGTTTTATAAAAATAATGATATTGAATAATTTGTTAATTGTTCTTTTATAATCTTTAGATTAAAATATAATTTTATTTGATTATTTCCCCAGAGTATAAGCAAATATTTTACATCAGTAGGGTTATAAATAAATTAGTCAGTTATGTTATTTCATACTCTTACTTATACCAGTATATTAACTTAGCTGATTGTTTACTGGGTTGGTCAGTTATTTCATACACCAGTATATTAACTTAGCTGATTATTTACTGGGTTGGTCAGTTATGTTATTTCATACTCTTACTTACACCAGTATATTAACTTAGCTGATTGTTTACTGGGTTGGTCAGTTATTTCATACACCAGTATATTAACTTAGATGATTAAGTTAATATACTGGTGTAAGTAAGAGTATGAAATAACTGACCAACCCAGTAAATAGATGATTATTTACTAATTTGATCTGTATTCCTGTTCTATGTAGATAGCTTGATCTGATCAAAATTTACTGATAAATTAACTAAGCTTGAGCCCAAAAAACCAACCTTCTCAGTGACCTTCTTAGGGAGTTGAATAAAAAGATTCTTTCCTAACTCTTCCATCCATGCTTTAACTTTTGAGCAGTCTCCATCTGAGACCATGTACAAGATTCTTTCAAAATTTAAAGGCACCTATCAAAAATAAATGTTAAACCATCAAAATTTTTAGAGAATAAAAGAGACCTGAACAATACCACGTACATTATCATACTCTGTTATCAAAGATTAAAAATAAAATAAATCAAGCGATGTAGATTTTGATATTTACACTAGCATTAGACCTTTTAGTACAAAAACAAAACATTAAACACCTTGGTTGTGGTTAGATACAAACACACAAAGATATAGTATATTAATGGAAAACGTGTGTTTTACAAGTTTATACAGATTATGAAAGGGGTATAAAGATTTATGTAGTACATATTCACTAACTTGTAGATAAGAAGTACATGAAATATTAAGAATGTCTTACACAAACATACTTATTTATGTATATAGAGGGAAAGTAGAAAATGCAATTCAAAGCTTGTTTTACGAATGAGCAAAATGTTTTCTTAACTTTTACTATTATATTTTTCATGTTTTGACAACATTGCAGAATAAAAATATTTTTTACTGAAAATAAATCACAAATTTCTTCTGACTGAGAAACATATCATAAAATAATATAGATTTATCAAAAAGTATTTTTGATAAATACACTTGCTAATTTCCAATATCAAATACAGAGGCGCTGTTAGGTACTTAAAAGATTCAGGGTTCAGGTCTGTAGGTACCAGAGTTTTTGGCATTTCAATATGATATGAATCATGGTTTTCTGTTCCGATATTTCAAGACACCAATTTAAAATATAGTGTTTCTAAAGAAGATGTTTCATGGAAAATAGACAGTATTATTGGTTGTAATTTAATTTTATAAGCAAAATCTACAATAAAATTTTTGTGAGTAATTTACAAAAATATTTGAAAAAAAAGAAACCATTTATTTCACACTCACTTGAATATCCATAGATGAAGCTAGAGTTTTATGGACAGTTTGTTGTATTGACAGGTTTCCCGCTGTTACTGCTTGATGCACAAAGTCATTGGTATTCACTGTTGCAGTGATCCTAATTGGTAGTCCCATTTTCTGTGCCAACATCCCAGCTGTAAAGTTAAAAACACTGTGCTTTCTTTAGTATTCGTTACCATTAGAGAAAAACGTAGTGTTTCCTCCAACTTCTGGATTCAAAAGGTTCTATTCACTAGCATTACTGTACAACATGTGCCTACAAACAGTTCTTATTAATGATGAATATATGTTAAGACATCTACCATGCTAATTCATTATATTACCAGATTCACCTTCTCAAAGGAAAGGCCATTTCATAATATCACATTGTTCAGTATTCTAAAAACATGATTACAGAGTTTCACATGATAAACACAGGGAGTTGATATGTTATATTAAAACAATTTCAATATACAAAGCAGCAAGCCACTTGGCAACCACAGCCGATATAAAGTTGTGGTTAAACAGGATAAATGAGAATTACTTTTGACACTGTTTGGAATTTTGTAGCTAGTGTTGTGATGTGGCTATAAACTGATTCCTTTGGAGTATGTGTAACAGTCCTTTCCAATGTAAAATATTTGTAAACTCAGGTCATAGAGATGTATTAAAACCAGGAATTTAAGTTAAGATCTCTGAACTTGTTTTGTGAAGAAATACAAACTAGGCACGTAACTGGTTTTGACCTATTCTCATGTAAAATTATGTGAAGAAATACAAACTAGGCTTAATTTTACATGAGAATAGGTCAAAACCAGTTACATGTGAAGAAATACAAACTAGGCATAATTTTACATGAGAATAGGTCAAAACCAGTTACATGTGAAGAAATACAAACTAGGCATAATTTTACATGAGAATAAGTCAAAACCAGTTACATGTGAAGAAATACAAACTGGGCATAATTTTACATGAGAATAGGTCAAAACCAGTTACATGTGAAGAAATACAAACTAGGCAAGTTTTTCTAACCTGTAATATGACCGCAGCCACCAGTAGGAACAATAAATTCCACCATCTCTTCAACATGCACACACAGTTTCAGGTAAATATAGACATAATGAGCAACCTGTACAAGAATGCGGGCCCAGTTGATGGAGTTGATGCTGCATAAGTTATGTTCTTTGGCAAAGTCCCAGTCAACAAAAATGTGTTGAATTAGCTGGTCAAAATCGTCAGACGTTCCGTCCGCTGATAAAATAAATATAAATAGATAAAAGATCTTAAGATTGTTCAATCAGTATAATTCTACAAAAATACCATAACAGCATTTTATTAGAGAAGCTTGAAACACCTATTACTAAATATAAATTAGTACTGTTACCTCGCATGTTTATAGCATTAAAACAATGTTAATTGTCATTGAGGAAAAACAAGACAATTGTACATTTCACAAATACATCATTTATTATGGCCATTTTTTCACCAGTAAAGGCATCAACAGTTACAGACTGAAATCTTTTGTAGCAGGGTTTATACATATTTCATAAATTTCATAAAATTTTAAAGGAACAAAAAGGAGCTTATCAATCCATCAAGGATGTCCCTTCCAACTCCCATCTATAACCACCCCTTACTACTCATGTATTAATCCAATCTTTTCTTGAACTCGGTTACATTTTCTACCTACACCGCCATTGAAGGCAGCTCATTCCAAAAGCCAACCACCCTGTTTGAAGAGTAATATTGTTTAAACTGTAGACTATCCCTACGCTGCCAAAATTTGAATTTATGACCCCTTGTCCTATTGTTTTCACTGCTAAACACAAAAAAGTTTGATATATCTATATTATCAATGCCCTTAGTAATCTTAAACACCTCAATCAAATCCCCTCTGACCTTTCTCCTCTCCAGAGAAAACAAGTTTAGAGATTTTAGTCCCTCTTTCATATACAAATTTTGTCCTTTAAGCCTTCTTTTCGGCCAGCACTCTTGTTTTCTTATAGTCCTCCAAGTCCTTATTATTTCCAGTAAGTATAAATTTCTTGAATTTATTATGTTTATCCCTAATATGATCGCTCTAAACCATACTGGCTTATTCCGCTCCACTGCCCTTTTTTTTTCTGCAGGGAATACGTATGTTCTGTATACATATCAATTTTTCCCTAAATGCTTCCCACATCTGTTCAAGATCCCCTCCCAACTCTTTAGTTAAATTTACAGAAGTCAGATCATGTTTAAACAAAGAACCAGAAGTAACCTTGACATTCACCTAGAGACAAGTGGGGAGGAGCTTAAGTTGGTTTGGTTGTTTAGAAGTTTTTCTGGATTTGTTTTTAGACATCTAATTATTTCTAAAATTTCCAGATTGTCTAGTTTTTTACCTTTTTCACAGATATGTAAAATTTTGCAGTATGGAGTTTCACCAAGTATCAATTAATTGTCATTATTACTCTTATGACAACTCACCTGTAAAACAGTGTACATTTCTATGGAGTTTCACCGAGTACTGACAGTTTCAAGTATCGCAGGTGAGTTTTCATAAGAGTAACAATGACAATTAATTACACTGTTTTGCAGGTGAGTTTTCATAAGAGTAACAATGACAATTAATTGATACTTGAAACTGTCGGTACTCGGTGAAACTCCATAGAAATGTACACTGTTTTACAGGTGAGTTTTCATAAGAGTAACAATGACAATTAATTGATACTTGAAACTGTCGGTACTTGGTGAAACTCCATAGAAATATACACTGTTTCAATTAATTGTCATTGTTACTCTTATGAAAACTCACCTGCGAAACAGTGTACATTTCTGTGCTGGACAGTTATCATCTGCAGCTCTTGAATTTTGTTACATCTGTCTTTGGAATACAAGACAATTATATCTATTGAATTATATCTATTGATTCTAAATCAGCAACACTTTGAATTTCAGCACTGCCAGTGTCACCTTGAAGTTGCTAAAAGTACAGTTCACCTTGTCACATATAAAGCATTTTTATATTAGAAAAACATTTTCACCAGAATAGTAATCTTATTTTACAAGAAAATAATTTAACACTTTTTCCTTACCAGGAGTTCTTCCAAGAGAGAAAACATCATTTGATAAGAAACATTTAGAATACAATTAAAAAGGAAAACTAATAAATATCTGTCAAGAGCAAATAGAGATAATTTAACTGTTTGTAACTATAACTAAATGATTAAAGGAAATATACTGTTATGTACAATATCTGTGGTTACATTTCACGAGGATATTCTGGCATTATAAGATATTATATATACTCTGTGTATCTGATAATAAGTTTTATGTGTTTATAAGAATGCATATTAAGGTTAGTAGACATGAATAACTTTGTATTATTTTCCGTTATTAAACATTTAGATTATTATTTCATATCTGCATGAATAATAATACATCTACTTGATAATACTAAAAAAAGTTCCTTATGTCATATGTGTCAGGAAATGATGAGGGAATATTTTTAGTTTTTTGGCCCCTTTTTTTGGTCATCTATTATTATTATTATTATAGACTTCATGTAAAATATTAGTTTCATCTCAGTCTCAATGTAACTTCCATTTGAGACTTAGTTTTAAAAAATTTTTAAATTTATTTTATAGGCACACTTTTATAATTATTTTTGAAATTATCCAAAATTTCGATTTTGGTCACTACTCTAGTAATCAGTAAACTCTTCATTTTAGAAATTTCTAGTTGTTCTTCTTCAAAAGATCAAAACAGATGTTTTCACAAGCAATTTGTAAGTGTACATATATGAAACGCACTACATTATAATTCACAGTTCTCTCACAGATAAGGATAATGACATGTCTTCTTCGTTGAGTTAAGAAATAACTAAGAAGATTGCCCACAATAGAAAGTGCCAAATCTTTGAACGCCAGGGTAGGACCATGGAAGAGTTCTGCTACATACACACCAGGATACAGCTCTTTGATTGGGACCACATCAGGTGCACTGAAGTTCTTAAATGAATTTTCAACAATACCTAGCCAAACAATTAAAACAGTTGTTAGACATGTTTAATATTTTGTTTTGTGTCATTGGTTGATTTTTACATAATCTGAAAGACACTATAGTTCATATATAGCTTGTTTGTTTTTTTCAATTGGCATACTGAAAATCTGACTATTTACATGTAAACGTATTTTTTTATATACGACTAGCAACCAAGTATAATTAAAAACACACACAATAGGTTTTCTCATTATTAAAACAAACAAACTGTTTTTTATATTTCATTTCACAAAAAGTTCAAAAGAAATTACATTTGTTGATAAACTTGTACGTTGATTTTGTTTTGTTTCTTTTAATTTTTAAAATTATTAAATTCCTTTCGTTCAGGTAACAAACTAATTTCATGGTTGATTTTACTTGATTGGAATTTGTTACCCAGAAAGTTATGAAGAAAGAAAAACATTTATTTTTCTCGGCAAAATTGGATCTTTTTTACCAACCAATGCGAACTAATTAAAACTTACATTCAAGGTCATTTCGGGGTATTTCGCTGTCTTCTATGTAGAGTTCGACCAAATTATTTACAATTTTACGATAAGATTGTCCTTTCCAGCTAACCAGTTGCTGCTTTGATATAATTGGAATCTTGGATGGTATAAAAAGCCCTCCGTCTTCTGTAAACCCCGAAAATAACGTTTCTTCAAACTTGCGATCTTCTACACTGCCACGGGTACTTTTGTATAGCATTGTTGAGAGTAATGGATGTGAGGGATTAAGATGAAGGCAAACGTGCATTTAAACGTTTCTGTGAACAGGCGCTGTACGATACTACATTAAACTGAAAAAAATAATAATAATAATAGCAGGTTCAAATGTTTGTGACAGATTTTTGGTTTGATATTGCCAATTCGATAACCACTGATTAAAGGTACAGTTGCATGCTTTTTTTTAATGTAGATTTTTTTTATTGCTTTTTAATCTGAGCGCATGACTCAATGAATTCAATTTTCTTGAAAGTTTAGTAAACGATTTGAATGATATGAAATGCACGTTAGGACAGTCTTGTTTGCTTGTTTTAAAACAAAGTAACATAAGGCTATCTGCTGTATCGAACCACGAATTTTAGTGTTGTAAGTCCACAAGCTTACCGTTGTTCCACCGGCTGATTAAGCAAGTGCAAGTGATTTTTATCACAAATAATTTTCGTAATTTTATGGTTATTAATATAATTTAATATAAATAGTTAAACGCCAAAAACAATGGCTCAGTCCCAGACAAAAACAACTTCCAACCCAAAAACCTGGACTCCATCCGCAGAAAGTGATGCTTTGCATTTGGTGGGACATCAAAGGAATAATTCATTTTGAACTCCTCAATCCACAGCGAACTGTCAATGTGGAGATCTATAGTCAGCGACTGGAACGTTTAAATCAAGACCTTCATCAGAAACGCCCTTCACTCAACCGGAAAGGTGGTGTTCTCGATGACAATGCACGTCCACATGTGGCACGTTTGACACAACGTGAGATTATGGAGTTGGATTGGGAAGTTCTCCCCCACCCACCATATTCTCCAGATATGGCACCATCATATTACCACCTTTTCATTCGCTGCAACA